TCAAATTTTTTCCTGGACTAATTATTCTGTCACTTTCTTGGAAAGAATTAACAGCGATCTGCTTGAAAATTTGGGCTACCTGTTCCTGCCATGCAGATATTTCAACAAGTTATCTAATCTTTTTTACTACATCATTATGGCTATTAATCGCATAACCGATTCAGGTGAGTTTCTGAAAAGTCGACAACCTTTCGTTCTACAAGTTACGAAAAGCCCAATCAGAGATATTATGGTTGCTGGCAATACTCAGTGAAAAGGATGTACAATATTTCGATGTTGATTGATTGAACTGTGAACATCTAACAGGCGATCACTCAATATTTATTTCAAGATATAACAAGAAATGAGAAAAGGAAGCTTGTTGAAATACTTTGAGCTGAAAATTCAATGTAGTACTAAAAATATAATATTGAATATAGCTATTAATAATAATAACAGTAATGTACTAATGGTTACGATTTTTTCTGGTCAGTGTTTCCTAGCAAGGTTCTCTTTTACGGGAATGGATTGTAAACACCTCACATAACCCTTCTCCTTTACCTGACCTAGACACAGACAGTAATCTGAGAAAAGCTTCAGGCGGAGCCAATTATGTATTACCATATTGTATTATTATTTTACATGAATCAGAGGGTTCTGTTAGTTTTGTAATAGTAATTTTATGAAAGTGGCTCACTATAGAAACCAAAAGAACGACAGTGTTTACAGAATACGACAATTTCATCGTATTTCGTTGCTTTACTCTGAAATACATGACTTAGTTTATACTTACGCCTGTTACCCCTCGTGGGTCACATCTCATCGATCAAGAATTTCCACCCGACTCTGTTGTGAGCTTTCCTTTCCAGCTATTGCCAAGTACTATTCATGATCTTGATTGCTGTTTTTAAACCATGGCGCTCTGTGTTATCTGACCTGCTACTTTTCCTTTTTACTTGACAACTTCTAATTGAGGCTTGTCTTGTGATACCGTCTAATAATTTTCATAGTATGTGAACTATTCACCTTCTGTATCATTTTCTAATTTCTTCCTCAATTGGCAGCTGCTTTGTTCTCTGTCAGAGTAGATTATTTCCGAAAGTTTTTGCCAACCGGATATAGGTTATCCTGCATAGTCAAATGTTTAAAAATACATGTACTTTTTTGATGGTGACTGTGGTAGATCTCCATGTCTCAGTGACGTACAGTATAACTAATTGGAGGTTTGTATTGAAAAATATGACTGATGTCTGCTGATAGTTGTTTTGAGTTCCAGATGTTCTTCAGTTATAGAAATGTTTCCCTTGATTTGCCAGCCCGTGTCTTTAGATCTGCATCAAATCCTTATTGTTTATCAGTGATTTTGCCCACGTACGTAAAAGTTTCTACCTCTTCCAAAGCATCGCTATCAATAGTGATTTCGTTGCTACTCGCTGTGTTGTACATGTGGATCTCGTCTGTTTCCTTTTAAATGTTGAGGATTACTGCTACAGAGCCTGATGATAAACCGGCTGTCTTCATCTTCGTTTGTTGCTGACTATGGAATAAATGTCCTAGGTTATATGTGAACTCTAAATCATCTAACTGCATCTAGGCTATACAGTGTATCCCCTGGTTCTCATAACTTGTGAAGGTCTTCATAATTCCATTAATTAGCATAAGAAAGAGGAAAGATGAAAGTGACTACTCTATACTATTTCACTCTTCACTTGGAATGCATCTGTGGTCTGCCTCCATGAATGGCTTTGATATTCATTTCTTCGTAAGCGTTCTGTATGATGGTGACAGGTCTGTTAGTATTTGTTCTCCCTCCAAAACCTTTATGAATATAACGTGGGGCAACTTTGCAATCTCTTGATTCACACTGATTAATCCCTGATTAGCAGCCGATTTCATGTTTCTCTAATCCCTAGCATTGATTAAACTCTACCGATCGATTACAATGAGGCCACCAGTTTCAGTTACTCAGCATTACGTACTCAACATTTTGATATTAGGTGGTTGAAGTCAAATAACAAAGAACCGGAAGTCTATGTTTCATGCTGGATATCACCTGACAGCAGGGCGTATCTCCACTCTTGTAGTAATTGAAGCTCTCTGTAGGATTACAAATCTCATTAACAAATGCGATAGTCAAGGATTTTACCATTGAGCTGAAATGTTAACACCAGTTCCAATGATTTGTAAGCTACGGTGTATAATATCATTATTTGACAATGTCATTAACGCTTTTAGAACAGTTTATGATACAGTGGTCTAGAAATAACCACATTAATATTCAGGCATGTATGCAAAAAACGCAGATTTGTCAGGTTATAGTGTGACCATTGACAAAATAGATGAACTATTAATGAATTACTGACCAGGTAATCTGTCTTTACCGACATAGCTCAGGTCAGTAAGCACTGACTTTGTGGAAGGTTGCCACATCCTTAGTTTACCCACCACTATCTTTTGTCATCTTCCTTCTGCTCCAGCCAAGATTGCATATTAAGGTATGTCTTATAACTTGTGGCCTGTGTGCCCTGTTAATGTACATGTAATGGTAACGCCAATTAGGGAGCATTGAATTATCGATCGGACCAATGACGCATGAAACACATGCGAGCAGTCGAGAGTCCTGACTTTTCCAGCTTTCCGCCTAGCCCAGCCAGTTAAGTCCAGAACACCGATCCGAGCCTATGCGATAAGAATCATTTATTTCAAGCATACTGGGTTTATATACCAACCAGACAGACCACATCGTACCATAAAATATGAAACAGCATTTGTACAAGAATTAGCCAAATGTGGCTGTGAATTAGGGGGATAGCAATTAAAAGACAGGGCATAATTCAAGAATGGTAAATCGTATAATAATAGTTCATAGGTCAAAATATAGCTCATAATAAGAGGGACATGAATATGAACAGTTTAGTTACTTAACAACTATACGATGGAAAATATACGCATAATATTGGTTCATAAATGGATCCCAAAAGTTACCATTCATTATGCCTATCGGGACATAACAGTATGCAACAGATGAACATCTGTAAAACGTGTCCCAGCCACCTCGTTCAATGAGGCCACACAGTTCAATCTACCAGTATTCCTAATACATTAATTTTAACCTCGGTATTGCTTTCAGGTCGATAAAACCATTACTAACCCAGATTCCCTTTCAAATCCCTTAAAAATGAGTATCCTTTCACAGTATCCAAAGCTGCTAAAATCACTTTAACAACACCTAGAGTTTTCAGTGTAGCGCATGGGCTTACTGATATGATAATGAATAAATTGATAAAACAATCAGACATAACCTTTAATATCCAAACGAAACTTAAACAGAAATTAAGCTTACAGATAAATACAATTACAAGCTGTCGAAATTTCGAAACATGAGGTAAAAAAGGGTGAATTATCAGTTTGATACATTCACATCATATAAGAAAGATTTATTCAGAGCCAATTTCAAATATGACCTCGCTGTACTTCAATTCGCTAAGGAAAATGTCCTAGTAGGTACAAATAAATGTAATGAAAATCTACAAATAAAATTGAATTACAAAGCATGAAAGTAAACTTGTCCATCTGCAAACAGAATACAAATCTTTAATCTCTCCTGGCTAAATCGTGTCACTACACAAACACCAATCACATAACGTGACCTTTCCTTCGGTATATATTTTTCCCTGATTGGTTCATTTTAATGGCATAATTCCAACTACTACACACTGACTATTATTATTTTTCATGCTGATATCATTAAGCTATTGATTTAACAATAACTTCATCCTCGGTGAGCCACTTTTTTATTATACAGATGGATGGGATGAATCAATCCAAATAAATAGTTGAAAAAAAATTCAATTATAATTTTCAAAAATAAAATAAACATTTTTCTCATAATGACCATCAGCCAGTGGCCTAATCTGTAAATATAACGAAATAATAATATATTGTGAACATCCCACTATGAAATGATGCTACAGGTTAGGACGGAAGATTTATAGCTTACTCCACAAACACAAATAAGCTATAGATACAGTACATGGAGACAAATAAAAATTTTGTTTGTCTACTATACTATGAATCTTCAATTAATTCGTGTTTTATGGTGTCATGAAATTACATTACACTTGAAATATGATGTAAGTGAGAGTTATACGTAAGAAGCCTTCAACTAAAATTTTGTGCTTCATGGCACTTATTATTAAAGTGTACCTGGAGCTTTCAGCGAAATTACGCTTTCTAAACAATACAACCCACGTCACATTGCGTTTTCATCAAGCACCGTGTAACACTTACTCAGTCAAACAGAACATAAAAGAGATGGATCGTGGCTAGCAATGGAATCCAGGACGCGTGTTTCTTACTAATTTAGACTCGTCAGCTGGATGTAAAAGCATCCTAAGGTTGGTGTCCACTCCGTGACTCAACATCACCTATAAGATGCAGGTACACCCGGCTGGTGAGTTCCAAACAGGACAAAACACGGGTCCTGGACTCCACTGTTAGCCACCGTTCATCTCTGATTATGATGCTTGTGACCTTATGTCAATATTGAGGCAGCCCGCACAGGATCCCCATATTCCAAAGAGACTGGTTAATTACAGTCCTTAACATCAACGGAAAATTTCAAACAACCAACACAAATGAAATAACATTGAAGACTTTACAAATATTTTAAAGCCATACAACTAAATACTTGCCAAATTATTTGCTTAAAATGGTTAGTCTTTTTCTTTCAATATGGAAAAATTATTTGATTGCTTCAGAATAAACAGATCAGTATTACTATTAAAACGGCATATATCTATAGTTTTATAAGTAAGCAACAAATATATTTAAGAATTATTTATCTGAACCAATTAATACCTTCGTTGAACTAATTTGATGAACCGAGTGCGTGAAAGATATACTATATCATGTTTAAATGATTAAAACAAATTCAGCTCAATAGTCAATTAAGTATGTTTGTACAATACTTTGATTTAACTCCCCCTGGAGACCGTCTGGGTGTACTTCCGGTCGCAGCCCCCCTATCAAGGACGGTTGAACGTGAGGTTAGTAACTACGCATCGTAAAAAGAACCTAGCTATAAATCGGCAACCAAAGAGACTTTGAAATACAGTTATTGGGTAAGCGCTGAAATTTTATTGATGACTGATTATTCGTTTAAACTACAGTAAGCATATAATAATTTCAAATTTTAATAATGATAAGTGGTGGGGAGGAATTCATAAACATAAGTTTTATGCTAATTGATACTCACCGGAAAAAAATATACATAATCATGTGGGGATTGGTGCTCCCTAACAGATTTGAACCCTGGCCATCGAGTTTTACTGTCTCACATGTTACCAACAGCCATACTGTAACTTAAACGATAGATTTCTGTGAGCTATTAAGGACTAGACAAACATGACATTGACTTCTATACAGTGATAATTAAGCGACAAAAATTGTAATACAGTAACCTAATAAGAACAATCAATCTGACAGAGTAGAAAAGTCAACAAGTTATTTCAAACAAAATGATTGGTAACACAGTTTTTTCTTCGGAAAAATATCTTTTTAAAAAAAAATTAATCTGATAAAAGTATTTGTTTAAGCCATTTACGTTCAATTTGTTCACATTTCAGTGAAGTATATAAAATAAAAGTTTGTAAACATTGCATTAACTGTTCATATTGTGCAATATTTTGAGGATAAATTCTATTTTGTAAATGATCAGAAAAATTATTCACTTCATCTGCCAATTGTTCGAATGAGTCAATGTCATTTTCACTGATGTTAGAAAACTATAAAATGCAATAAATAAAAACAAATAAAAGATATATTTGAAATAGAGAAAAGTGTAAAAGTATAGTGTAGAAATGAGATAATCAGAAACCGGAATCCGATATTTTATGCTTTTGCATAAAATTCAATCATCACGTATAATGAGCAGTGAAAGTACATCTGTATGGTGTTCAGAATATGTAAAAATGACCACAAGAAACTATTATTCGCTACCATAAGTTAGAAATGATAGTGTTAAACGTAAAAAGCTTCATTTTGTAAACAAACTAGTCAAATTGCGTAGTTTGAATTTTCGAGTGAAATTCATTTATTTATATGACGGCGAGACCATCATTTTGTGGACGAACCAATCAGATATAAGATAACAGATCTTGGATTTTGGCACAAAATTCATACATCCATTTGGCTGAGTAGCGTTTTGGCAATCAGTTGGCGTCGACTCTTAACCCTAACCATCAACTGTAAATCATAATTCTAATTCCTCACACTGGTTTATAACCCTCATATAGTGCTAGTTAGTAAGTGCACATTCCAAAGGTTACTCCAGCATCACTCATAGGTCATAGTCTGAAAAATAATCTTAACCGACAATAACGTAAGAACGTTATTTGTGTCCTTATTAGAGTTCGAGGTGGTGGGTGATCTGTATTTATGTGGATAAATTTGTGACGATGTTTTCTTGATTTCTAAGCACAATAAACTCTAGAAGACATTAATAGATTCATTAACTATGTAAAATCTTTTTTACAACTTGTGATATGAACGTTTTACCTTTCATGAACTACTGGTTTACAGAAGCTGTTTTCTGATTGGCTAAGGACTTGCTGAAAATGTACCGCGGGGTTTTTAACACTGCCCATGTGCTTAGCTTTTACATGAGAAAGATTTAAATGGTAAAAAATTCCTCCATATTTGTTTGATAGTTTTATTTCGTGTAAACAATCTTGAGAATAAAGAAGAAATATGAAACTCGAACTGACTATCCTTTAGAACTGGTTGCTGGATAGTAATTGTAAACAAGTCCCAATTATAAATTTACTTTCATCAACCGTTATATGTTATCGCCCTACACAGATGTTATTACATAAGGTTTGAATTAAAATCATGAAAGAACATTTGTCACTCCTTTTTCTTTTCTAATTACAGAGAGAGGATTTCATAAAGTATCGAAAGCATGAAGCCACAGTAACGAAGACAACAAAAAAGATGATAGACGATTTTATTCAGAAAAACAAACATCCACTTCAACAATGTATGGTTCTAATTTGTTTTAAAGATTGTAAACGAACACATTTTTGATGAACAGTTAATATCCAGAAAACTCCGTACAATCCCAAAGCTAGGAAATATAGGTATGATCTGTTATTTATCTGACATGACTAGTAGTCAAACAGTATAATTTATTGGATAAAAGGATAATTAATTCACCGAACTCATAGAGAAGTTTAATTTATGACATAAATGAGACATGGTTTTCATAGATTTAATGCTGTTTATTTATAGATTCATCTAGTTAGCAGTAGACTTTCTTATGCCCCCAAATGCCCTGGTATGGTCGAGAGTGGGGAGAGTCCGCTCTCCTTCTCGAAATACTCTCACACGGCCACGCGTATACAGCCTCTGCCAGGGAAGTCCTACTCACTGCCTTCTCGTGGCGGGGGTGTTGGTTACGAAAATGAGAGGACGAAAAGCGAATGTTCGGCGCTTTAACCGGATTCCAAATCAATGGTGCACATGAACTCCAGTATCCTGCGGGAACAAATGGCGTATGAACCAATTCTCGGTCACCGGCTACCATGGGACTGCATCTCCATACAATGCTCCACTGCCTTGTGGGTTAGACCTTTAGGTCAAAGGCTTGGGGTGTGGCCCCCTAAGATAACCACCTGCTTCGGTCTGGGCACCCGGGAAGTATCACAGCCCTCACACATATCGAATGAGATTTGTGTGGCGCATATGTATTTGGTGCCTCCAATATTTATGTGTTAAAAAACATAAAATAAATAAGACTTTCTTATACGCTGAAAACAAAAGATATATCGCTAGCACAACAAGAACTACACTAAAATCTTATATCGAACGCGCTCTACTAATTAGAATCGTCCACCAAATCAAAAGCCAGTATATAATGTAAGAAAGTAATAATTTATCAGTAATTTGTTACTAAATGGTAGACAAAAAAGTGAGAGAAATCCCACCATTCTAAGAATATTATGATCACTTACCAAAGATGCTATATCACTAAGTTGTTGTATATCGTGACAAACACTTTCATATTTATCCAAGTTTATTTCTTTCACAGTTAAACGATTTAATACAGGTGAAAATTTTTGTAATATAGTTTGTTCGAGTTGAGGAATTAATTCTGTCTGATTAAAATTTTGACTTTCTAAAGAATTATCATTCTCTTTTGAATTACATTCAGATATACCCAACATTTGAATTAAATCTGTAAGTATCTTGTGCTGAAGTAGAAAAATGATTGAAACAAGCAAAAACAAGATACGATAATGATTAACACAAGGTTTTTTAAACGAAGTCAAAATAAACAAGTTAATGAATAAGAAAAAGAAAATTCAGCGAGGAAATTTCTCTTTTCGACGAAATAATTTACTTAAGCTGTACATTCGTATATATATATAGTTATATGGAAAATATATATGTCTATAGGAGGATAGAATAGATTGCATCATAAATTGATTCGAGACTCTTATTATCAAATAAGGCTATGTACTAATCAAAGGGTAAGCAAGAAAATAATTTATGGGTCAGATAATAGTCCAATTGATAATATTTTTCTACTTACAAAAATGTGGGATTATCTGGACTGTTATTTTTTATTCGAAAGGTGAAAATATATACGTATTAAGTCATAAAACAAATATTATAGCTAATGTTTTTAAACATGTTCCCTAACATTCAATTGGATTCAATGTTTACACATTTTAACCATTAACTCATTATGTAATTAAATTGAGTTATTTCTGAAATCCTGAAGTTTGAAAAAGTTATTTAGAAACAATCGTAAAGTTTATTTGCTTCATCCATAGTACCGAAAAAAAACCGACTCACACAAATAAGATGATAACAGTACAGAGATATAAATAAAAGAACAACCATATAATCAATAAATAAATCAAAAAATATTTAACAAGCTATAAAATTTAGTTAAAAATGTGACCAGAGAGATTTAGTTAAAGAAATTCATTTCGTTTTTGTGAAAAATGTAACAGAACACTACAGCAAGATTCCAACTGTTAGATATTCTAGGTCATATCAAATAGTAGTATCTCAAGCTACTGAGTCGTTGTATTCCTAGGACCAAAAAAACAGAGTTCTGATGTACTAACGGATCCCAATTCCACACATCTACTATTCAGATTACAGCATTATGCCATAAAATGATCACCTTTCCATTTTTTCCCATCCGGTCCCAGAGTCTGAAAGTAATACGGGAATTGGAAGCCGCTAGAATGATATCCAAAATGCAGAAGCAGGATACCGAAGCCGGTGTTTCAAGGTGGTGACACCGACTGCAGTATCGTCACTGTGCTAGAATATACATTCCCGAGCATCATCATCACTTAAATGATGTTGCTACTGGATGTAAGCAACCCTTTGGAGAAAAGGATGATTGAACATCAACAGTCTCCGAAAATTCTTAGTTGGGAGACGCCAGGTTTCACAAGATTGATCAAATGAATTTCAAGTACAGGGTCCTATATTTTGGATTGACAGAATGCAAATTACATAACATAACTACGGGCATTAACTACTGATTATTTAACCGCGATTTGTATAGTTTGTGTATCAACGACATCCCCATACTGAAAATCGACATGTCTTTCTCCAACAAACAAATCCACACCTCAACCAGATGGAGAGGACTAATAATCTGACAATTGTCGCATAAACTACGGAAGCACTTCTTACTAATAGGAACAAAGATAACATTACTACAAGATGATGAAACTTTTTTGTTCGTAAAACGTTTAGCTAACTTGGTCAGTTCTCTGACTAGAATTTCGACATCAAACTTGAAAACAATCGTGATTAGGTGTTTTAGTCGTGGTGGCTTGAAGCGCATGGGAATTTAGGGCTCCCTAAAAGCCTCTACTTCGCTATGCGGGTCGATAGTCAATAATCAAGGGACATGTAATAGTTTGATCAAAATTTGCGGAATTCGAGTTTTAAGGTAACTAATTGACGTACCATAGATTTCAGAGACTGAGTTGCCGACATCAGAGAAAAGGCATATACAGATTTTACTAAGTATGTGACCAAATACAACAAGATGTAATGAGGATAAGTTAAAGTTAATAAAATAAAATCGTGTACTAAAATGTCTGAGCAGCCACTACATTTTAAGGGATCTTTATTATCTATTTTGAGGACTTCCATATGATAAGTTTACGATTCACCGAATGAAAGTGAACGTATTAAGTCGTGATGTGTCAGCAGACGAGAAGACAATAGAGATATTTTCTACGAACTTGTCTCCCAAACAAGTGAGCACGCGATGACACGTAGTGGCAGTTCACATTATACGTACTTCTGGATCAATAAAAACTACCAAATCCCAAAGCTTCGATCGGAAGAAAGAAACACTACCAGAAATAGAAATTGAAAGCAAAACGTCGAAGCAAGAATATGAACAGATGGGATCTGCTTTATTCTGATAAGCGATTGCCGTCAGTTATAGCGTTCACCTAGTGACTTAAACTACTGACCACTAACAAGTAATATAGTACAAAGGAGAAAAATGAAATTATAGTCTAAAATGCCTATTCAATAGGTAATATATACATGCACAGTATTACCTCATTATGTAAATCTTTGACTGATTGAAACCAGTTTTCCCAATCATGTTTTGTTTTACGTAAGCGAATAATTTCTTCGCGTGTAGATCTTATGCGATTTAACAGACCAACAATTTTAGCCTAAAATTAAAATACATAAACTATCAAATGATTCAACAACAGTAATAATAATGAATTTCATATTCCATTTAACCTGAAGAATATTCAATCCTGAAAGGTTCCATATCTTTTAATGAAGATAAACAACAATGTTTTACATAATCACCTAGTGATTCTAAATGGAATCAAAGAAATCCAATGAGTTATTGTTATCCATGATTGCTGAAGCTGCTATTTTTTAATCAGAACATGGAAGATAAAAATGTGGTTTGGATGTTGACCTGTAGAATGTTTTATTGAGACTTCCTTAGAACTGAGCTGATTTTGCTATTTTTATATAGCTTGAAGTTTACAATTTTGTGTGTGCTAGAAGTTCACAATGTCTGGGAAAGTGAAATAATCCAACTACATGTGGAAATAAATTTCGAAATCGGTCAGTCTGGAATAAATTTTGCATCGCAGATTGATACTAGTGCTGATGAAAATAGATAATTGTCAAGCGATATCACGTTAAAACAGAAGTTGGAAACATGGATTATTACACTCTAAAGTAGTGATCTCAAAAAATCTTGGTTGCCGCAAAACCATTAGGTTTCGGTTTCGGCATTACATGGAGTCTTGAACGTGTACTGTCGAGAAATTCCAAGCTATGATGAAACAGTTATCCAAATCTTCCTAGGCCTAAATAACTCTTAGGCCGATGTCAGTCTGAAATAAAATCAGATATCAAAATATTGACGAATCAATTTCTCAAGTGAGAATAGAAGTCTAACACAATATTCCATAGATTTCATGATTTGTAATGGTCTTTCATCAGGTTAGAGGACGTATCAGAATTGTCCTCTCAAGTGTTCTACCAGTGTAATACAGGAAGCGTCAATATTAAAGGTAGTGTGATCTACCAAGTAAGGCAAGACATTAAATATTGACTGTTTTAAGAAATAACTTACATACAAAATATAATCTAGATTGGACATAGTCAATAAAAATCTAAACTAGATACTAATTCAATCACATTATCAAATATTAGAACTAAAACTTACATAATCACATTCTACTTTATTCACAATGTAAGATGATGTATAACGTTGAAACAATATCCAAACAGTATATGCAGCTAATGATATATCAGACAATGAATCAACATCTAATTCATTAAGCTTTTTTACAGGATTATCCAAGGTTAATGAACCAGAAGAATGTTCAATGACGCTACCAAGTTCCATGTCATGTGAGTGAATTGCAGAAGCAACTGAATCCTACTTATTATTAATTTTTGATAAACAGAAATAGATTTAAATTAATTGATCAATTTTAAAAATGCATAAATAAATAGTTATGAGTGAATACTAACAAGGTATTTTCAATTGTTCCGAGGTTTTTTCTTACAAATTCTAAGCATGATTACTCTAGATTATCATATAACTTAAAAATATTCTCAATGGTTTCAAGGGTTTTAAGTACACTAGGCCTTGAGAAAAACATTTTTTGAAAGTTCCTTAGATAAGATAACCGGAAAGAGGTTATAATTTAAAATATGAAACGAACATCCTGGATACTATTAATGGCCACACTTTATTCTATTCTATATAGACAAATAGATCATTGAATTTAACAATAAAATCCACGACCCCAAAAACCGACAAGCAAACAAGTGACTTTTGAGATGGTGATTTGTAAGTCAGGTGGATGATTTGGGTGGAGTTTTGTTTTCTGAGCTGAATGGTTCAGTCGAACTTTCATTATTCTTTTGGACAAAATCATAAGCATAAACTTCAGGCAGGAATGAAACGTTCAAACTTCCCCACATATGACTCACAGCTTGTCCTGACAACCTCGATTAGTTATTGTTGACCCTTTACTTTTCATTTTCTACCTGTATATTTTGAGTGTATCTACCTTTGATTTGATTCTTGGTCCCATATTTGTCTATGATTTTTCTAACCGATTAATAGATTGAACTGATTTCAATGTGTTTGCTAACTTGATTGACCTGAGTGCCAAGCATCCGAAAATTATCTAGTGCTTTTAATAATCCCTCTATCCAAGATCTCGACATTTTCTTCGATGTACTAATCACCAGAACCGATACAGAAAAACTGGAGACTCAAGTATACTGGAACCTGACCCACACAGATCAGGTTCTCAATTACAGTGGCAACAACCCAACAACTAATAAATTCAACTGCGCACAAACTTTATTCAAGAGGATGAGGACACACTGCAACGCGGGAAAATGAAAAATTATCCAAAGACTATTTTGAAAGAATGGCTACCCACTCAACTTCATCAGAAAATATCAACCCAACACATCAGCAAAAACAAAATCAAGTACAGGAACTAACAAACGGATCATCCTACCATATATAATAGCATCAGGAATTACAACGAGATTATTGAAGCCGTTTGGAACAGGTGTAGCACACAAACCAGCAAAATCATCTCAATCCTATGCAAACCAAAGGAGGAAACAACAAAAGAAACACAGATCACCTACAAAATAAACAGTTCCAACTGCGATAAACATCACATCGAATAACGAGGACATCCCCTTTATCTTCGCATACACGAACATCAATTAGCGGTCAAGCGCCATGACATATCCTTTCTTATATCAATGCATGTGGACAACTGTGGACACATTAGACTGGAAAGATGGTGAGATCTCGGACAGAGGAATTACCAACAGCTTAGCTGAATGTCCTATAACCAGGATCGGAGGTTCTGAGCATGAAGTCAGAAAAATTTCAGGAAATTATGACAGAAAGTACGACTTCAAGAATCCCTATCAACTTTGTTATATCTTAGCTTTTAAATATCGAATGGTTCTGAACTGCATTTGGTTATGAATGATGTTCAGATTATGACTGAGTTAGGAGCATTTTAATAGGTTCCATCTACGGCTTCATTGACTGAATGCATAATTGACATTTTGACAATCAATCTTTATCCTAAAATTAATATTATAAAGAAGGTTTTTGACAGTTTGATAAGCAAACCTTCGACTTTCGAAGTCAATGGGTTGAATGTTAATCGAAAAATGAATGCAATGATACTAAATGCCCAAATGACGATTGCTAGTGAAATGCCCCCCTGGTATGGCCGAGAGCGGGGTGGGTCCGCCGTCCCTCTCGAAATACTCTCACACGGCCACGCGTATACAGCCTCTGCCAGGGAAGTCCTACTCATTGCCTTCTCGTGGCATTACTGTTATTTACGAAAATGAGAGGAAAAAAAGCGAATGTCTGGCGCTTTAACCGGATCCCAAATCTATGGTGCACATGGGCTCCAGTATCCTGCGGGAACAAATGGCGTATGAACCAATTCTCGGTCACCGGCTACCATGGGACTGCGTCTCCATACAATGCTCCACTGCCTTGTGGGTTAGACCTTTAGGTCAAAGGCTTGGGGTGTGGCCCTCTAAGATAACCACCTGCTTCGGTCTGGGCACCCGGGCAGTATCGCAGCCCACATGCGAATGATGAACTCTGTATATATAAAGCTACTTTTCTTGCTTTGCATAACAATCAAATGATTCAAATTATTATTATTATTATTATTATTATTATTATTATTATTATTATTATTATTATTATTATTATTATTATTATTTACCTCGACATTATTCACCCTCTTTTATTCCTACTCTGTCTATACTTACTTTTTTCGACTTATACAGCAGCTCGTCTTTGGTAGAAATCCGAATCTATCTAAACGTTCTCGAGTCACTGTCCGGTTGAAAATTGTATGTTACCACCGAATATGAGTACTGAAGCAGTTTTTCTGAAACCACGCTTGCACCTTCGAAGTGCAAAGTACTTCTACAAGACTGGCAGGATTCTAATTCTGTACTCACTCTGAATGGTGAGCAGATAGACGTAGTTGAGAAGTTCGTGTATCTGGGTAGCTGCATAAGTGCTGGTGGGGGTGTGAGTGATGAGATCAATGCACGTATAGTGAAAGCCAGAGCGGCTTATGCCAATCTGGGCCACCTTTGGCGCCTTCGTGATGTTAGTCTGGCTGTAAAAGGTCGGATCTATAACGCGTCGGTGAGAGCAGTTTTGCTCTATGATTTTGAAACCTGGCCCCTCCGAGTTGAGGACGTTAGACGACTCTCTGTGTTCGATCATCGCTGTCTCCGAAGGATTGCTGACATTCAGTGGCAACACCATGTCAGTAATGCAGAGGTTCGGCATCGTGTGTTCGGGCACAGAGACGATAATGCAATTGGCGTCACCATCTTGAAACACCGACTTCGGTGGCTTGGACATGTTCTCCGAATGTCGTCCCAGAGAATTCCACGTCGTGCATTATTTGCCGACTCTGGGACTGGTTGGAAGAAGCGGAGAGGTGGTCAGTGCATGACATGGTGTCGTGGTATGAAAGAAAGCTGCAAAGGACTGGCTTCTGTCGGTCCTTCACGACTCCCTGGTTGGGGTCCGAGAGATGGTGCTACACAGTGGCTAGAGACGTTATCAGATATGGCTCAGAATAGAAGTCAGTGGCGATCCTGCTGTCACCTTCTTTTACTTTCTTCATAAAAAGTGGTTGTGTCTCCCTTAACTGAAATATTTTTTCTGATTGTACATTTCCGTTCCCCCATTTTTACCATTATTATTATTACACCACCTTACATCAATCTCTTCGTTATTATTCTTTCTTTTTTTTTCTTTCCCTTCCCCTAAAATTCTCATTGTTTTGTGTGGCGCATTCTTGTACCAATATTTATGTGTTCAAATAAATAAACTTTTCTCGCTTTGCTATTGAAACTATACAGAAAATATTTTAGGAAATAAAATACTTGGATGTAAAGATACATTTGTTCGACAATTGAGCTTCAGAAATTGTAAAAGGGGACAGAAAATAATCAGTGTGTCATAGGAACCCTACAACGAGTGCTCTAAGCTCACGGTAGTTTTACATCTGGCTATTAGTTTTCGTTTTAATCTCCAAATACATATGCAACCATTTGGAAAACTATACAATCCATACGAGAAATTGTGGTTGCGGTTTTTCTATACATACTTTCTGTAGTATGTAGATTCACAGGCCTATATTATATATTATGCATGCACTAACTCCCAAATTTATTGATGTTGTGTATCTTGATTGTACAATTGTGGTAAGCAGTGAACAACTAAGCGATTACTATTCGAATGAAATCAGGATGCAATATCATGTGACTTAAGGGAAATCGAAAACTAGTCGGTTGATTAAATACAGAAGTGATAATTCACAAGTTTTAAATTATAACAGCACCGTAACAGTAAGCAATATAATAAAAAGGAATCTAATATGTCAGCCTACACGCAATACATAATAGGTAAATAATGACTAATTCTACCCAGCAACTTACATCAATGACTAATTGAGCATTCGATGCATTGACTCCAAATTTTGGAGACGATTGCCGCTTCACAATAGAACTGTTTTGTCGTTCATTGGTCGACTTTTCTCTTACAGACGAAACCTAAGATGTTTGAAAGCAAGTATAATCCAAACACTTCACTCACAGATCGATGGACAGTATTTGATTTTTCCAAATAACGTGAAGCAACTAGAAGATAAAAAGGAAGCGAATAATTGGGCAGTATGCTAAAAAAAACTATTCTTCCGATTATTAATATTAACTACCAATAACGCTAAATGATATCGTTGTAGGGCAAATTAACCTACGTTAGGAAATGTTAAGTACTTAATAATAAATCAATAGTTAAGCAGTAACATAGCATCATACATAAAAGTTCCAAGTTTGATAATAAAACGAATCAAATAAAACCAACTGAGTTTAAGGATTTATGACAAAACATCTATTTACTACTTCGAATGATTCACTCACAGGTAGTTTTTGACTGAATAACAATGGTACATATTGGAAAAGTATTGATACCGTAAATCATATTCTTTCTGATGCACTGAAATAAGTTCTCATATACAAAAGTCACAAAAAAATGTGATTCGAAGCAACACAGCGTTCTATCGATTTGCTGGAGAATTCTATCCAAGGGATAAAAATTCGCATACCAGATATTTATACATTGAAAAAAAACCCACTGAACCACTGTGAGTTGATAAGAAGTTGAATTTCCATGTGACATTAATGTGCAATTAGATCAGATACAGTCCTGATAAATACTCTTAATGGGATTAGAAGTCAAACTTCTGCAACATGAGCAAATAGATAATTAGGATTGTGGTCTGTAGATTGACTGAGATATTATCTAGAGTTTAGGAGCGAAAATTTAGTCAGTACGAACATGTCCAGGCCTAAAAGCAGCCTGGATTTCACGGATTTGATTTTCACGAGCTCCATATAAGCGTTGAATTATTGAGACTAATATTTTAGACTCTATATTAGTCAAACGGATCACTCTCTGGTTATCGCAGAAGGGTTTTTTATCCATTCTTACAGCCTGAGACGATGGAGACGGGACAACTCCTAGTCCTTAAAATTTAGCTAGTATCTCACTCAGCCTAACAGCTAAAATTTGACCATCTTCCTTGGAAATCTCTCAGATCATGTCATTAGGGTTTGCTGTTCTCCTTCACTTTAGGTTACCCAGAGCGTTTTTAACTCAAGAGTTGGAGACTTGTGTCAGTTTGCCGTTCAAGTTGATCGGAAATAAATGATAACTGAAGGCTGACTGGAGGTCAGTTGAACTTCCCCTTAAAGTCTTCTGTAATGTCTTACCTCCTAGATTAAAGGTGGGTGATGCTTCTGTTTTGTTTTGAAATAGTCTCTCCAACAACTGCATCTTTAATAACTACTTTCTTTATCGGTCTGTTGAGTTGTCTGAAGCTACCTACTGCTGTCGAACTCCCATCTCTCACTTTCGTTTCCCGCCACTTCTCACGACTGTCACCTGAACTTACTGTTGGTTTATATTTGAGTTGTTATTGATATTTATCACCATCCCAACATATTGGGATGAGTTTTCAAGAACCATAATATTCGGCTTTGATTGGATGATTTTTGAAATAAATCTTATGAATGGACCAGCTGAAAGATGAAGACGAAACGTCCAACTATTTCGTTTATAAACTGAGAGCTAATAAACTAAACTTTTTATTTTATTGAGCTTACCAATATTTAACTCAAGACTAGCTAAGAAGTAGTAAATCATATTGTATTTCACATCGTAAGAAATACAAAAACTGAGTTAACGTACCGTAGGCTGTTTTTCTTCTGGGGTGCTTAAAAAATTTTTCCCTTTGGTCACCCATTGAAGTACGTGCACAAATTATCTACACGGACTCAAAAATGTGCTGAATCACTTCTATGGCAAAAAAGCTATGCAAATTAACAACAAATAACGTTAAAAAAAACATGTATATATGAACAAGTTATAAAAATATTTTTCAGAAAATTGAAAACTTGGTAAGTGAATGGCATTTAGCACATGAACTACCTTTTCAAATCGTATCGACTGTGTAGAAGTTTGCTATCTCTAGGGAGGTAACAACGAAAGTATACTAGTATTCAGGTGAAAAGACTAAACTACATGGCGTGGATTCGGTGAGAGTATGATCCATGGAAGAAGCAACGGAAGTAAAGATATTTGCATGAAATCCATTCATTTGTATGGTTAAGTAGCATTTCGACACACTAGCTGGTCAGTTTTTTCATACTCCCTGACCCTTAATTCTAACTCTAAACCCCAATCTTATAGAATTGGTATTTATATATACCAGAGCTAATTTATAACTCTCGTTAGACCCTAGTAATTAGGTGAATATTGACTTTGAGAATATCGACATTTAACTTCGTTTTCGTGAGATAATGAGCACGACAGGACTTAACATTATTGAATAATTGTTTGACTGGCGTTTGAAAACCACTTTACGTCTGTGAAAAATTCTGATAATATAAATCTACATCGTTAAATGATGAGTGAATGATCTAATTTTCCCATTTTGTGGATAACTTTTCCAGTGTTTTGAAATTTCGGGTAAGCCGCTATGGAAAGCTTTAAGGAAATGGCACCCAAACCACGAAATATCTCATCTGGGGAAACCCCCCAAAATTTTGGGTTTTTCACCAATATTCCCTCAAAACTTTGGTGATTTCCCGAAATTTATCCCGGAATCTTAAAACAGTGTGGGGAAACCCGTACCTATTTATTGATAAAACCTCAAATTTTTTCACAATTTTGATGAAGGCCATTGAACATTTGAGATTTCCCCAAAATCGAGAGATTGGGAACCCACGGAAAACACTTTAGAATACACGTTTCTTACGTCACGTTCAGCTTTTAATATATCTGCGTCCAGCCTGAAGGTATTTAGTGGGGCCCTTAATTTTGTGGTCATTTAGATCGAACGATGTGATCGAAAGGGCTCTCCACTTTAATGCCCCGTGTATCTGACTTCAATTAGATCGTATGAATGTTTGTTATCGCCTATCCTCGTATATAATCATCGACTTAAATCGCGTTATTTAATAACGGAATTAAATAAGTCGAATAACGAGAATGCACTTGTGAATACATATATTCTTTATATAAAGTGAATGGAATAGAACGAAGCAAAACGACGCGCAGTGGAGATGGCTACTAAGCCAACTCTCATTTAGCCAAGCGTTAATCAATATTTATAGTTATACAAAAGTAAGTTGCAGACATGTGATGAGTAATGGGATAAGAAATGTACACACACCTACGCGCTCATATAGAAACAGTCAAGATTGATAAGCTGATTATTAACAAGGTCAAAATGTGACTCAAGTAGAATGAATAGAATGGGCTTAACATAATAAACGACACTACAGGTATCTTGTGTGCAGGGAAAGTGTTCCCACAAAGCAGTGAGAATGCAGAAAGCACTTACATTTAGAAACAAAGTGACTAAAAAACAGTTAAAATAACATTTATGAGACTAAGACAGTCCGATATTAAAATCTATCAGTTAGCATCTTACTGTTTTGGACGCATTACACCAACAACGACAAGATAGCTAAATAGCACAATACACTAATAACGCGCCTATAGATTGATTTATATTTTTATGCCATATACAAACACTTTAAGAGAACCAACCAGCTATGTATCAAATCAATGATCATGACTGATTTAACTGTGCCATACACTAAGACCAATCAGTTCATATTCTGTCAAACAACGATTGTGCAATTATAACTGTAGCGCTAAATAAATCTTTAACACAGATAATTTTTTGAGTCCTCAACATTTATGCAGACCTCGTTAGTTTCGATGAACACATCTTACCGAGTGTTGTTTGTCACGAAACCGCATAACATCATCATTGAGTACTCAGCTGCGCATCACTCACTGCGAAATTCTCCTCAGTAGTGAAGTCAGTGCCATATAATTTCAAGGGGTACGTTACATCGAGAGTATTTACTAGTGGTTTCCGAACCTTACAACATGTTTAAAAAATACTATATACGTGAAGACATGGCCGATCGACAAATGTTATATAGGTGACTCGATAGTACCACATTGTAACACCGCTCAGCAATAGTAACGTTGCTACGTGTGCGGAGCTTTCTGATAGATAAACTTTCGACGAGAGCCTTTTTGGAGAGTTCTTCTCATATACACATCATCAAAAAGCGCAAGCGGTTCTGCCTTCATTACAACATAACGCCGTAGACAAACTAGCAATATCTACTGCCTGGATTCTAGGGATCACCAAAATCCTTAGAACCCGCGTTAAACCTGTCAAAAAATCCCGACTCAATACAAAGCGAAATTCAAGATCTCTGATATACTTTCACCCGTTTTCTCAACATTCATCATAATAGCGAATAGATGGAAACTCCCCACAGAAACCTGTCACAAAAATGATCTGCTCCTAGATCGCGGGAAACAAATAACCTAAATGACCTCTGGTACATTACCACCCATGGTAAGCCTTCCAGGAAACGCAGAAAAGCTCTTGAGGTTTTCTAACCTCTCACTTGTTACGACAAAGATTTCGGGTGACTCCTCGGCCGAAGCGTGTTGCTGGCGAGCGGAGCCACTTAATATAGTCAACCGTTATGCATCAGTGTTGTGATGACAACAATCTGGCATCTTAATGACATTCGTGAAGACGTTGGCCAACAATCTAGGAAAACTAACGATCGTCTACAAGATCGTTTCTTCAACTATCGGACGGCAAACGGAAATCAAAACCCCAAATACATTATAAAGTAAATCCATTGTAACGTGCGTTTTGCTGGCATGAGTAAACGCGGGAGAGTGGGCACCTTTTATGTAATCTACAAGAATTTTAAGATGAAAAGACGTGTTAAATGCCCCTTGATGTCTATCACAACAGGTGACACTCATCTCAACCATATTCATTTTTATTTGGCCTTTACTATACTTAAAAGGAAGCACTTATTTCCTAACGCAAGTCAAGTTGGGTGGGACATTAACTCATTTATCTTTTTTGATTGTGCCATCATACACCTCTTGGAGCTGGTATCTTCTTCGCGGTTTAGTCGAGTGGAATCCGCAGTTCGTGATCGAAATCTAGAGTCTGCAAGAATTTCCAAAGTATAGATAGAGTCATTCATCCTTATTATTAATGTTTGGACAGTTGTAATTCAAACAGCATAAGTATTGTCGGACTAGTGAATGAACTAGTTTTAACTGCTAAATAAACAATTTCCTGCGCCAGTGTCCTCTCAATAACTCTGAATTTGCAGTTGAGCATAGTTCATTACACTGAATCACATTCTCTGTGGGGACATCGATATTTCAACCGTGACAACCCGTGTAAACCGCTCAACTCAATGGCATGAAGCAACAGCTATCAAGGACGTTACTTTTGAAACAGTTACTTGTAAAATTATGGTCGAATTAGGTATTAGTGTGGTGAACAAGAACACCAGTGGGGGACAATCGAATGTATGTGACACTAAATTGCAGAGCATCTCAATAAAGTCTGAGAACCATATAGTAAATCGTTAATTTGTAAAATATCAATCCATTATATCAAAGTTGACTGTTCCCGTTGCAAACATCAATCCATTATCTCAGATTTAACTGTTTACGTGTTTTCAAACCAATTGCGTTCCATCCCCGTTCTTTCCTCATCGACCTTCTACTGAAATAAATCTTATGCCTGACCACCGTCATATACTACTTGTGTTGAAATGAGTAACCCACACCACATTAGTACCACTATAATAATAGACCTAATTCCAACATTATAGATTTGTCATGAAGTGATTACCCAATAAATAAGTTCTTATATTATCTACACCGTCTCATCCTATCGTAACAATCAGCAATATGACGTCTAGCACTTACGAAGAACATATTTAGGCTACGAAATTGTTGATATATTTGGTACAATAAGCGTGAATTTAAGTGATCACGCCCGCCTGACCGAGTCATGCCATTCCGATTCCTTGTTGCTGCGTTCATTATTGCAGAGCTTCTATCCGCGTTAAATGCTGAATACGAATTTTGTCAGTTATCTAATGTCTAGCCTCGAGGATCGCGGGGTCAGAATAAATAGTACTATAAGCTGGCATCTCCTTTAAAAGATAGCTAGCATACTTCAGCTCCCATTCAGCTATTACTTAAGTATGTGAATTTCATTAAAGTACCTGGTCTTCGCCATTTTCTAATTACACTTCTAGGCAGCATATTGTTACGACAGACCGCCTGCCACCCACAAGCTAACTTTTCGGTAGCACTATTTTAAAAACTGTCGAATGCCTCACTCTCAGCTGCAAACGTATTACAATAGACTGACGGTTTTTTACTCATGTTACTTGGTGTTCCTAATGCGTCGATTGCTGATGTTAGATGCACTCCTGCTGAACTTGTTTACGGAATGGCACATCGACTTCCAGGCAAATTCGAGGATCTTTCAAATTCTTTAATGAATGCAGATCAAAGCTTCTACACAAGAAGGATTACTAACCGATGGATTCAGTTAAACTTTCGCCAATTCAATCGCAATTTATTATTATTATTAGCTTTATTCAATATTATATTATTGGTACAATATAGAATTCTCAGCACAAAGTATTTCAACAAGTTTCCGTTTCTGTCTTCTTGGTCGGTCCTCGCGATAAATACTGAGTGATCGCCAGCTAGATGTTAACAGTCCAGTAAATGAACATCTGAATAATGTACATTCTTTTCGTTGTATATTGCCAGCAACAATATTCTCTCTTTTTGAGCTTTTTGTAACTTTGACAACGAAAGGTTGTACACTTTTCAGAAACGCAGCAGAATAGGTTGTGCGATTAATAGACATAATGATATATTAAAACAAACAAAGATAGATAACTTGTCGAAATATCTAGATGGCAGGAACAGGTAGCCCAGATGCTCAAGCAGGCCGCCTTGAAATCAACTGATGTTTTTCGTCAGCTTGCTCAAGCATATAGTATGCACGTTTTCGCAAGTTGTTTCTCAATACCACGAGCCCCTTGGCCACTTACGAAGGACTATATGATATTGTTTATCATGTATCGATGTACCACTCTTTTGATAAAGACGAAATCAAAGATAGAACCAGCATCGAAAGGCTTAGTGCCGTTAACTAAGAAGGCAACACATTCACCATCAGCTTTCCTACTAAACAATCGGACGATGCAAACGTCGATAATTAAAGACCAAGTCGTGACTTCGCTGGCATCTGATACCAGCATTCCTACAGTTGAACTACACGTACAACTCAAATCTACTGTCAACCAATATCATAGGATCTTCAATACGAACCTTTACACAGTCCTACTGCACGGAGCTGAGACTTGAGGAACTGCTGTGGTATTATTTCTGTTATAACGCTCGGTTTTCCTTCTAATGTTATAACGGTTGGGTTTCCACTTTAACACGTTTGGGACATTAATTTACCCTAGACAAATATCTACACTAGATTCCTTTGCAGTGTCTATTCTACAGGAATTCAACACAACTCAGATCAAGAACACGTGATTAACCTGACCAGAACGTAAATATATTTCCACACCGAAGACCGACACAATCCGACAACAATGAACAGTCAATAATAAGTAAGTCGTAATAATAATAAGGATAGGAAAATATATAACTCACCTAACACTTGTCAGATTATCTACATGTCTGACTAAGCAGACAACCAATCATTATCATTCTCGCCCATTCATCAGGTTCTTGCCACACTATCCTCAAAGCTGAACATGAGATAACTGGGAAACTAGATATTCATTGCAATTGAACTCAATCAGATGGCATGGCTCAGCCATGCAGATGTGTTCATGCCATATAACTTGTCTTAACTCATATTAAATATATGATTCTATCTTTAGCCTAAATATGCTCTTTACAAACGTCTGACGTTATATAGCAGACTGTTGGGATACGACGAGTCAGAAAAGCCAATAATGTGACTTCCACTGAAGATCTTATGGATTAGGTTTTCTCATCACGACATATCTACAACCTTAGGATTGGGTCTATTATTATAGCAGCACTAATAACGAAGCAGTCCATAATTCTACAGAAATACCACAACCATCATCAAAAAGGTATAGGCATTTATGGCCGATTATCTACACAAGTTACGGATGCCATCAGCCACAGCCTATTGTGGAAGAAAATAAATCGGCTTCCAACTGAAGAGAAAGTTAGGAAAATATGTTGGAGATGGATAGGACATGCATTTCCGAAATAATCAAACTGCACCACAAGGCAGAAGCTAACTTGAAATCCTGAAGGGAAATGGAAAACAGGAAGGCCACAGAACACACTCTGTCGAGAATCGGAAGCAGACACGAAAAGGATGAATAGTAACTGTATACAACTAGGAGGGATTACCCAGGACAGAGTTAGACGGGCAATAACGGTGGGTGGCTTATGCTACTCCACGAGGGTTAAAATGGTGTCAGCAAGTAACTGAGTACACTTCGAGGCATATTTAATTTTTTCCAGTTGTACATCGGTAGTAATTTATAACATTCTGCTTCCTAACTTTAATTAGCAAAACACTAGTGCCGCGTATTGAAATGTTACTGTTCGTTGTGGGTGTGAACGATGAACCCCAATCACCTCACTTGTCAGACCACTGTTATTGTTAATTCAGTTATGATTGTTCTGGAGTTTTGGCATAAGAATCAAATAATTAATTCCTGGATGAGTTATATTTTTGTA